CTAGAACACAAACTCCAAGGATTTTTTATGCTGGGCTTTGTACTAGTATTTCCCCCTGCCCTGTCCCCTGCTTATCTGCTTACTCGGGCCAACACGCCCCCACCACCCCAAAAGGCAAAATATTTCCAGGACTTTGTACCATTGAGGACAATGAGAACAGCAACTTCCATGTAGCCTGTATAAGACCGTCTTAACTGGGAGAGGTGGTGCCTGGGGCACGAGATCTTATAGAAGGGAAGTCCCCGGACAGGGGTGGGCCCAAAGAATTCCATCCTGGAATGATGAGGAAGTGGCCACAGAAAGTGGCCACTCATAAGTCATTGTCATCATCACCTGTAGAGAAGGTGTTTTGTTTTTAAAAATATTCTTTATTATTTTACTGAAAGCTTTGGCAGCTTTGCCACATGTTTTGTGAGAACCTTTATATTGGTGCCTTGTATGCGCGTGGGCTCACGGGGTCTGATTTCCTGGCTGCAGGGCCCCTTTGATAAATAAATGACTGATGTAGCTTGGCAGGACCCGGCTGAGACCACACCGTGTGAAACGGGCTGCCTCCTGGGGCGCGTCCACCTTGACCAGTGCCGAGGTGAGAAGTCTGTTCTTTTCCCTGACTTCATAGCCAAGAAACAAGAGACGCAGTGGAGCCGTGTCAACACATGGAAGTTAGGAGTGCATGGAGAACCTTACATTCAGATCCCCACTGAAATGTACTCTTAGAACCAGCAAAAGCTGCTTCTATATAGTGGCAGTAACCCTTCGTGCTTACATATTTTTAAATAGGCCCGTGTTCTATTTGTGAACAGCTGTAATCCGACAAACCACTCTTGGGGGGGAAAGTGAGTGTGAGAAGAGCAACTGGTATGTAAAAGTGCTTACCGTGAGTTATTCTTTCTCTCTGCAGTTACTCACAGACTTCAGTGGTGGGCATGGAGTGGGCGGTGGTGGGAGGATGATAAATACAGCTTCCCATGACGTCTGCCGAGTGTCAGGACCTGTATTCTGTTCTTCTTATATACGATCTTCATTTTAATTCTGATAACAAACTAAGAATCGAGCATTATAGCTATTTTGCAAATAAAATAAAAAACGAGGCCTGCGGAGTTCGGTGACTTGGCCCCGGCCATGCAGCTGGGAAAAGCCAGAGGCAGAAGCAGAAGGCAGGTCTGTATGACACGAAGACCAGCCCCTCCCCTGTATTTGGGGTTTCACATGGGGTGCTGTTCATTCTCTTCCCCCGCCTCCCTCTAACGGTGCAAGAATATCGAACCTGCATTTCCACGCTGTTCTCCAGAGTTATTTCATGCATTGGGAGAAAATAGAAAAGCTTTTGAGAATCTGGCGTTTTTATGCTAGGCACTTTTTCATGCATTATGGAGAAAAATAGCATTTTTTCAATGTGTCGGGAGAGCACAGGGCATCGGAGAGCGCCTGGGTGTAGCCTGCGACTTCCTGGCACTCTGCATGCTTCCAGACTGTTAGGTTTGAACAAACTCTTCCCTCCCTAATTGCTTAATTACTATCCCTGTCAGGAAAGAGCCTTCGCAGCCATCAAGTGCCGCATATAAAAATACCCTTTCATCTCAGCGTTTGAAAAATCATTCCTGGGATTTCAGCAAGACGGAAGCCCAGTGGTACCTAACCATTCTCAGATTTCTGAGGATAAACGAGGTGGGCAGCAAGGATGCTTAGCTTAGGGGACGTGAGTGGCAGAATTACACTCACCTGGATGAGGTCCCTGTCACTTGGAGGGTCTCAAAACGATTTTTAAATCTTTGCAAAATGGAAGCAGAGAAGTAAGATGGCCTGAATGATATCAAGTGAGTAAAGCAAGAAATGAGGTTTGGGAATCAGAAAGGCTAGGGCTTTAACTCAGCTCGGGTGCGCTTTCTGAAAGTTGGTAGAAACTACACGCATCGCGTGGTCTCTCCTATGGAAATGCCGGCGTCTACCATGGAGTTGCTGAGAGGATGAACCAGAACAGTGGATTATTAGCGCCTGATCCAGTGCTGAGCACACGGAGGGGGTTCAAGAATTACACAGTCGATGTCATTGTTCACGGACTCCATAGTTTGCTCATCGCCCACTCGCTGAACTGTACTTGTCGCCTCGAAGTCAGTACTCACAGGCGCCTTCATGGTCAGTGGGGGACGTGTGCAAAGTGGGGGAAGCTCAAGTGCCCCGGTGCAGACATGGCAGCTGAGGTCCCTCACGGCGACCCCCGCCTCCTAGTTGCGTGGGAGCTGTAAACTAGTGTCTTTTACACATTCTGTTCAGTGCCACGCTGTTCAAATGTGGGTGCTTATTGTTGGTGGTTGCACTGTTTTAAATGGCCCTCCAAGCGTAATGTCCAGGTTCCGTCCAGTGTTCTTGAGTGGAGGGAGGCTGAGGTTTGCCTGATGGAGACAATGTGTGTGAGAGATAAGCTTCATTCCATCATGAGGGACAGTGCTGTTGGCATGAATGTTAATGTAACAACAGCATATACCTATCTATAAGGTCTCTTGAAGCAGGAACACACATGAAATAAGATTATAATTTAATGCGGTGACAAAAATCTTGTAAACGATTGTCCACAGGAACCTAACCCTGTGTACCTCCTAGGAGCAGTGGTTCAGGGTTTGTTAACTCAGTGATCATGACAACTTTATAAAACATACCTCCCGCAAATGATGAGAATTCGCTGTAACCCATTTAGTTCCTGCGTTAGGCAGGTTAAAAATGAGTGGCTATAACAAATTAACTTCAAACTGTAGCTTAACACAGAAGTTTATTTTTTAGGTATTTAAAGTCTAATCAGGTGTTTAAAAGTGAGTCAGGAACCCAGATTCTTGACATCTTTTGGATGGGCAAAGAGAGAGTTGTAGGTAGGTCTTTATGGACCAGCTTCCAGGTGGAGCACATCACTCTGCCTTCTTTCTATTGGCCAGAGGTCAGTCACATGGTCACAATTAACTGCAAAGGAGGCTGGGAAATAGTACCTAGCTGAGTGCTCCGGGGTTCCGTGAACAGCTCAGCCACTACTACCTATGGCCATTTTTCCTTAGATAAATGGCGAAACCCGTAGGTAAGAAACATTTACCTTTTCAAAGTTCCTCTTTTAATCTCTTTCCAGTTCATCGCCAGGGGAAGCAAGTCTTTGTCTTCTCATCTGTCTTGGATAAAAGATGGAATCCTCACATAATGAGACTCTCTGCATATTTTCTCTTGTTCTATTAATACTTCAGCCAACCTTTCAATACCTACCATACATTGTTGGCTGCAGTTCTTTTTGCCACTGAATAAAGGATCACATAAAGATTGCGCCCAGTGCCTTCTATGAAAGAAAGGGTTAAAATACAAATAACTGATCCTTTATTTTTGTTCCAACTAAATTGCGGACTCAACATCCAACTTGCTTCAGCGTTCAGCCAGTAAAATGCCGGCTTGGTCTGACCCTGCATTACTGAGTGTATTAGGTTGTGTACTAAACACATCACTGACGCCACCAGGAAGAAGTACCTGCTACCCTCTGGGACCTCTGCCCAAGTTCACTGTAGTTTCATGTTGGGGACTCTGATAAGTATTGTTTTTCCGGTCTTTCTGTCCTGGTGTTACTGTCGAGGGAAGAGGCAGTGGCACAGTAATTATCTGACTTTAGTAATTTGGGGGGGGGACATTTCCTAAGAAAACTTTGGTCGCCCACAATGATCAGCTCATGCACATCTTTGGGACTCTTATGAAACTATCATGGACTTTTTCCACAAAAGAAAGATGAACTTTAAATTACATATATTTTTTAAATTTTGTACAATTTTAGGGGAAGTCTTAACCCTGCTGAAAACAAGGTTGTTCTGACCTTAGAATATTATCATGGAAATTAATGTGACCAGCCTGTCACATAGCAGCCAAACAGAACTAGCATGTACTACATAAGCAAAACGGTAGCCCCTGCTAAAAATCAGGCACCGTGTTACATAACCGCTCTTTACTGCGAGGAGATAAAAATATTAGCATGGAATAATACAGGTGCCAGAGGGTTTCAAAGTTGAAGAAGCAGGCACAGGCCTTGTTCTGACCTTCCAGTGACTACAGAGACAAAAACAAAACAAACAAACAAAAAAAACAGCACAAAACACAAATTTACCCCTATGCAGGTCTGATGTTTATTTCTGTTCGTGCTTTAATTGTGTTTGGAGTCTCACATAGGTTTTCCTCCTTCCTGTAAACTGTGGGACTTGCCTTCAGTGTGGGTTTTAAGCCTTTGCCACGTGCCTTGATACGGATTCTAGGGCGCACGCACACACACACACACACACGCACATGCACACGCACACACACTTATAGGAGCTCAGGTGTCCTACAGTATGAACTGTTTGAAACATAACTGTGTTTGCAGAATGGCAGCAAGAAGCCCTCTATGTAGCAAACCAGTTATGACGCTTTTGCAGAGAAGTGTCGTGCTCGCGCCCAGATGATTGTATAGAAGCCACAGAGGGACAGCAATACAGTAAGAACTGCCGGGAGAGGAGGGAGCAGGAGAATGAGTGATGCCCTTTAGGGCCCTGCTCGAGGCTGGGACCATGAGTAATGTGGCGCCTGCGACCTGCAGAAAAGGTTACATTTCATTCCGTGCGCTCTGCTTAGGGGACGGGGAACATGTGCAGAATATTTTTTTAAATACGTCAGAAAAGATAAAACTAAAAGTGTAATGCGAAGGAGGTAGAAATCCGTTATTTGGAAAGATCATGGAATGAGGTGTTGCTATTTATGTATTCTATTAATTTTGATACAGAAATAGCTGCATTTTATCAGTTCCGTCACCCAATTCTCTCCAGAATCTGGCTGCTCTTTCAGTCTCCAGCACTGGGCACAATGCCTGCCTCACAATAGACACTCCGTATTTATTGAGAGAAAGAAAGAGAGAAAGGAAGAAACCATAATATCCGTATGTCTGCATGACATGAATTACCTGTGCATGAATAAAGACGTTCACGTTTAAAACTCTCTTCTCTCCTTTTCAGAGCAGAAGCCATTCTCTTGGGACCATTCACAAGCAAGAGACACCAACGCCGTGACATATGCCAGTGCCACCGCCACCTCCACCTCCTCCTCTGCCTCCACCTCCCCCGCCTCTGGGAGCTCCTCCCCCTCCCCCGCCATCAGCACCCCCGGTAAGGCCTGTTTTTCTGTCTCAGTGACTGTCCCGCATAAGCTGCTTTGAATATACACTTGAGCAGAAGGTTTTACATGTTCGGAACCAGCCACCACGGAGCTCCCCTGTGACAGGTGGCATCTCAGGTCGCTGGTCCTGGCGGCTCCAGGGTCTGATTCCCAAAGAGGCTGGCCAGGTCTTTCTCTACCGAGGAGTCCTCGGCCACCGCCACCCTCAACCTCAGTGTCATCCTTCTACAGACCTCTAGGTAATTTCTCCTCTGATTCCTGCTGCTCCGTGCCGGCTTCCTGGGTCTCCCTAATCGGCTCTTCCCTCTCACTGGAAACCTCTGAAGGGTGCAGCCAATGAGGCGTGCCGCAAAGTCAGGTTCCAGTGTGTAACTGGATGGTGGTAACGATAGCTCGGGCTTCGGTTGCCTGGTGCTGGGCCCACGTCAGGGAAGTGTCCTACGAAACGCCACAATGAAATAGAAATCTCTAAATGAAATGTCCCTCTCCACGCCAGGCCCTTTCATCTGTGTTGCCGGATGCTCTCTCTTGGTTTAATAGTTTGGTCTGGGTGTAGGGTAGGAGAGGCACGGAGAGGGTGGTTGTTTAGTCTGAGAACAGGAATTCTCAGCGTTGGCACCACTGACATTTGGGGCCAGATCCTTTCTGTCGTGGAGGGCTCTTCTGTGCCCTGTAGGGTGCTTAGCAACAGACGGCTCCTGTTCTCAGTGGGAGATGGAAGATACGGATGCCATGGCGATACGGCACGCAGAGGCAGGGCTGGTAGGGATGCTATGAGCCAAGTCAGCTGAGCCGGGAATTGAGCCTCACCTGCCATCCTCCCCCGCTATGCATTCCGCCCCCCAGGTGTGGATGACATGACCTCAGGTGTGCGGATGACGTGACTATGGGAGTATTGGTTAGGAGGGCCCCAATGCATGGCCACAGGCTACCGGGAGAGCACGAGTGTGCCTGGACACCCCCTATGATGTTACCTTTGCACGCCCTCCGTATCTGAATTGCCAGGGACCTAGACCTGCCTGAAACTTGGCCCTTGCCCTGGAAAAGAATGGAAAGAAATCACATAGATGAATTCCATATGAAAGCTCTCTGACCAGGGTATAGAAAGTGTAGGAGTCAGTTGGAAGTTCCACTGCTGAACTTGACCACACAAGGGATAAAGGAGATGGACAGTTTATAAGTAAAGGAAACATACATGAAACTGTCATAGGGATCTTGCACAGACTGGCTAGCACCAAGAAACGCAACTTATAATCACTTCAAATACCATAATACACCCGTAAACTTCGCCAGAATAAATAAACTTATCAAAACCTTCATTATTGGGGATTTGGGGAAATCAGCCCTTTTTTAAAACTTTGCTGGTGACACACAAATACCTGGAACTCAGTGTTCAGTGAACCTTTCTGGAGTGTTCTCTGGCAGAAAACAGTGGTCTTGAACGTATCATACTTTTCCCCTGGAAATCCAGTAGTTTTATTTTTGAGGCTGATACAAAGATTAATCCTAAAGGAACCAAAAGGAATTTATCCAAGGATGTGCACAGCAATGCCATTTATTCTAGTGAAAAATTTGATCTTATGAGCACTATGTGAAATGTGGTAGGTCATGCTGGTAATTAAAAATTGCATTATGCCATAGTGGTAATTAAAAATTATATTTATAACTATGCCAATTATGGAAAGTAGACATGGAGTGGTGGATTAAAAACACAATGAAATTAGCTATGTAATATATGTAATAGCAGAGATCAGAAGAGAATTTTTAATTCTGATAAAATTTTATTAGGGAATTCTTTTTCTTGAAAGACATTTAAGTCCATGGTCCAGTGTTTGGGTAGCCTGCAAGCTAAGGATAGTTTTCACATTTTCAAATGGTTGAAATAAAAATAATACTTTGTGACATATGAAATTATATGAAACTCAAATTTCGGTTCATGAGTAAAGCTTTATTGGACCTCAGCCATGCTCACTCATTTACATATTGTCTATGGCTGCTTTTATGCTGCCATAGCAGAACACCAGTTAAACAACTTGTTATTCCTCCCAACAACAACAAAAAAATTCCGTTTTTGTCTCTATGCAACCTATAGTGTTAAAATTGTACTCAATGATTATTATTATTCTTCATTGTTATTCTATTTTTTGTTTCATCAATAAGAATTTTATGGAACTTTGTTTTTCCTTTTAAAGTACTTACATAAAATCCATGATTTCTCCTCTTGGCGCACAATGCCTACAATATTTATTGTCTGGCCCTTCATGGGAAAAGTTTGCCAACACCTGTCCTACGAGACGGCTGGCTTCTTCCAGCCTTCCTGGGCTCAGCAGCCAGGGACCTTGCATTAGGCCATGTGCCTCTCTTCATCCCTTTTCAAGGACTCCCCATCCCCCTTTTGACAGTCACCCGTTCCACCCACACGGTCTGGCCCCTGCCTGCCTCTCAGACCTCGCACTGTGCCCTGTCCTCGTGTCTTCTACTCTAAGGCGTGAGCATAGCTGTGCTGTTTGCCCGGAAACCCTTTCTGCTCAGCTCTGCTCAGGTGTCACTTCCCTGGAGCATCACTTCCTCACACCCACACTGGAATGTATAACATACATTCACAACCTCCTAACAGCACGCATCAGTTTTTAATTCTGTTTATTGGACTGGAGTCTGCATTTTATGGGTTGTAGTCTTTCGGTTCCTAGCACCTGGCTCACAACAAGCACCCTCCTCATTGACCAAATGAATGAGTGAATGAAAGAATGAATAGATGCATGCAAACATCTGTGTAAATAGAGCTCAGAAATGGAGCTAACCCTCTTCATAACCAGTGCTCACGACTGTAAACATCCATGTTATGGACCAGCATGGCAGATTACTACATGCAGTCTTTGGTTAATATATGTAATCTTTGTGTGACATGTTTGATGGTCTGTAATGAAAAGCGTCCTATCTAGCTTCACCTTAGCTCGGGAAGATCTGGGGCTTAGACCAGGGCTAAAAGCTTTTGGTTTCTTCCTTCTACCTCTCACCTCTCCCTTCCTGCCCCTCCCATCCTGGTCTCCACCTCTTCTTTAGTGAGCATCTTCTCTTTTTCCAAGAACGTGTGTGTAATAAACCAGAAGAAGGACCAGTGGAGCCTGCCGATTTTTGGAGCAGGCTTAAACCCAACAGTCCTCGCCATCCTGTTTCACTATTTTTCTTGCCCCCTAACTCCCCTGTCTTTTGAGTTCTATTCTGTTTCTCATTCATTTAAAATCCAGTAACAATATAAAATTGCCTGCGTGGTGCATTGGTCCACTTATAATTATATTGTCATTGTTGCTTTGGTTACAGGATGTAGCTTTTTTAAAAGATCTAAATATATATATATATATTCAAGTGTTTGATTTTGAAATGCAGCAGAATTTGACTGAACTTTTGTTTTCTGCCTGGACCCCCTGGTAGTGTCCGAGGTGAGAGAACAAGCGTGGTGACAGCCTGTGATTTGTTTTCTCATCATGATCACATAACACCGTCTCCACACGAGGAAGGGAATACATGCGCCTCTGCCCAGCTGATAGGTTCTTTGGAGTTGGGTTCCCCAGGCAAAGCCTAACAACAGGGCTGTAAGTTTTTGTAGCATTATTTTTCAGTGTTGCTGTGCAAGTTCACAAACATCCTAAGGAGGAAACCGTTCTTTATTTAAAAACAAAGGGGCCCTGGCCTGCGTTGCTCAGTGGTTTGAGCATCGTCCTTTGCACCAAAGCGTCTCAGGTTCTAGTCCCTGTCAAGAGCATGTACCTGTGTTTGCAGGTTCGATCCCCAGCCCAGGTCAGAGAGAGTGTGGGAGGCAACCAATCCATGTGTCTCTCTCACATTGATGTTTCTTTCTCTTTCTCCCCCCTCCCTCCCTCCCTTGCACTCTCTTTAAAAAATCAATGGAAAAAAATATCCTCTGGTGAGGATTAACAGAAAACAAAAACAAAGGGGAAACTGGCTTGCTAACCATTTATTTACCATGAGAAGCAAAACTCCCAAGTTAGGAAGACACCCTGGTGCCGTGTATTTCTGCCTGCCTCTTCCGGGGGTGAAGTTTAAAAATGCTTAAGGGAAATGACAATGAAACGCATATTGTGGCCCCTCGCCGTAGGTTCCCTCCTTCCTGCTTGCCAGTCTGTGCATCCAGGCGACTCCGTGAGATGATGCTTCTCCTTGTAGTCTGAGGGTCGCATGGCGCATGGGCGAGGTGGGCCTTGCACAGGGTCAGGAAATGCCAGTTGTGGTCACACTGGGACGGTTCCCAGCATCTCTAGGAGACAGGAGCTCGTGTGCTGTGCAAAAACATGTCAATCTGTTACCGAAAACGCGTAAAATGGAGTCTTATCTGAAACCCCACCAGAGCCTTTTTCCGTTTTGTGTTTGCTGTGATTTAAAAAGAGCTACATGGATGGGGGCTTAGCAGAACTGCGCATTTCCCTATGTTCTGCAAACGGTAATTTGCATGTTTACTGGTGCATTGGGAATAATGAGAGGCTTAAAAAATCTTAAATGCTGTCACTCACTTAGGTTCCCCCAACACTGGTGCTTTGATTAGTGCCATTAATAAGGGACCGGGGACAGTTACCCAGGGTTGCCGGTGGCCACTGGGACAAGGAGAAGGCTTTTGCATGAGGCCAAGCTATTGGGATATAGTATTACATTTGTTCTCTGCTTAACAGTTGGCAAAACTACACCTTTGTCCTCCAGTCCATTTAAAAACTTAATTCTCCCCCTGGTTGGCGGGCTTGCACCTGCGAGCAGAGCAGTCAGGCCGCCTCAGTGAGGAACCCGGGAGAGGTGTGGCGGACCTGCCACTCATGCGTCCAAAGGGCCATTCAGGGTGTATGGAAATGCGTTTTTTTTCTCAGCCCTCAGCTGGGAGGGGCTGTGGGGACAAAGAGGCGGAGGCTGCGGTGTGTGCTGGCGGCACACTGTGCACTCCTCAGGCCCGGGCTCGGTGAGAAAAGCCTGCCAGCGCTTGATA